ATATTAGCACCATCTGATGAAATTGCCTCACCAAGGGTGGTACTTCATCGCGGGATCTCATCAGGTAAATCCAAGAGTATCGTGAGAAATCATCCACAAATAAGAGAAAATATCAATAGCCCCTCATAGAAGGAACAATGTAAGGTCCCCACACATCAGAATGAATAACATCAAAAGAAGAATAACACCTTTTATTACTAGGTTTAAATGAATGTCTACAATGCTTTCCAAGTTGACAACCTTCACACTCCAGACTTGACAAACTAATAGACTTAAAAAGTTTTGGAAACAAAAGACTCAAAGAAGAAAAAGGTAAATGGCCCAAACGATTATGCCAAAGCATAATTTAACCCACAGACCCTGACTCACTATCCTTGCTGACATGACTCTGATGAGGAGGAAGCACATCCAAGAGGTAGATCCCATTCACTTCACAACCACTCTCAATCGTCCTCTTTGAATCCAGATCCTGCAAAATACAATGATCAGGAGAAAAAATTACTGAGCAGTTCAGGTTCTTAATCAAACTACCAACAGATAACAAATTAGTGCTCAATCTGGGAACATGAAGGACAGAGGGTAGAGAAATAGAACACTAATCTTAACAGATCCCTTCCCAGCAATGGGAACATGGGATCCATCAGCTGTGGAAACCCTATCTCTACCAGAACAGAGCTGGTAAGAAGAAAAAATAGTAGAGCTATGGGTCATGTGCTTTGAGGCTCCAAAATTTATAATCCAAGGAGGTCCCTCCTTACCTAAAGTAGAAACATAATTTGCAGTGACGTGTGAACAACCCGTGTGAGCAAAAGAAGTAGAATGGACTCCACCAGTACCACTGTACCTTGTTGTCCGCTTGTTGCTGAATTGGAATTGGCTGTATCTCGTTGGCTCAGAAGTTGCCCATACCTCTCAAGTTCGGCCCTTACTGCAGCAGCTGCAACAGACTCCAAAGCAGCTGTAGTAGGAGGGGTCGGAATGTCACCAGTAACTTCCATGTGAGCATTTCCCTTCTTATTTTTCAATCTAGTCAGCACAAGATGTGGGTGAAGCTTCCAGCAAGTATCTCGTGTGTTTAGGCTTCTTACAGTAATCACAGATCAAATCTCTTTTATCTTCCTTCTTGATTTCACTACCACCCTGATCTCCACTTTGTTTAGGTTTCACAGTACTCACCATGGCAAACTGATCAGAAACAGGATTTTTCATTATCACATCTCTCCTGCTCTCCTCCCCTAACACAAAGGCATATGCCTGGGAAAGAGTAACACTGTCCCTGGAAAGAAGATGTTGTCTTGCAATATCATACTCAGGATTAAGGCTAGCAAGAAATTCAAACACCCTATACTTCTCTAGATGTTTCTGATAGGTAGTTGCATCCTTAATGGTTTCCCAAGCAAATGCCTCTAAATGGTCAATCTCCTGCCACAGTGCTTTAAGGGCTGAAAATAGGCTACAACAGGTATATCTCCCTGCCTTGTAGAAATAATTTGATTTCTCAATTGATAAGCCCTAGCAACATTCTCCCTCTGTGAATAGGTTTCTACAACCCCATCCCATAATTCCTTAGCTGTATTTGCCCATTAAAAATTTTTACTTATATGGGGCAACATGGAATTACACAACCAAGTCATCACCATATAATTCTCCTATATCCACCGGGAGTTGCTAGTTTCGGGTTTCACTTCTTCACCAGTGATATACACTAATTTCCCACGAGCACCAATGGCCATCTTTGCAGATTGTGACCATTCTAAGTAATTTGCACCATCCAACCTAACTGTAGTAATGGTCCCAATCCCGAAAAGGTCTCCATCACCTCCTCTCACTGGTCCCATTTCACTCCCGGGCTTATTTTCAACTCCATGACCCTCCATGCTTCTCAAAAAGTGTAAAGAAAATAACTGAAATATGCAAGAAGATCAAACAAAACACTTTTGGAACCAACAACACCTTTCTGGTGTCCTAGACAGTCTTTCCACAAAAGATTCCTTTTTTGCGGGACTGGAGAAGAGAGAGAAGAGGCAGCCTCTCTCTCTAGAAGCCTCCAAATCAGGCAGGACTTGAACCGCCCCTTACAAAATACTCCAAGGAACCCTCAAAAATTAGGGTGCCACTTCCTAGGTCAAAATTGAAGAGTCCAACAGAAATAAAACTCTCCCCCTTTCTCTAGTTTTTCCTGATTTTGATGAAAAACCTTAGACCAGCTACAAGGCAAACAAATCCACCAAAAAATCCAAATATTGGGCTTCCTTGAGATCTTCAATCGGCCTCTTAAATCACCACGCAGTCGGCCGATTTAGGGCTGCATGAGAAAACAACTCAAGGAACCTTCAGCCTGCTTTGATACCAAGTAGAAATCACTGATTGCAAATTTAGTTGAATTTCTTGTGAAGGGAAAGAGGAAGATAAAGATTTCAGCAATAGAGAAGAAAAGAGGAGGAGAAAAGAGTAGGAAGTCAACCAGGATTCTTAGATAAACCCTAGCCGCCAACCCCTCATTATAATTTATACTTGACTTAAAGGATGAGATATTACAAGGATGCCCTTAGTAGGGCGACTACTAATGTAGTTGAACAGTCACAACTTAAAAACATAAACTAATGGACCTAAATCCCAACAACTTCCTAACTAAATAACTTAAAATAAGAATAAAAACAACTAGGCCCAACTCAACAAATCTAAGTATCTAATTCTAACCAATTGAGCTAATAATTAAGTAATTAACTTTGTTTTTTGATATTTTCCTGATTTCTTAGAATTTCTACATGTTTTTTTCTATTTTTTAGTTTCTTTTTTAATTTTGTGCGCCTTCTTTAAAAAGGCACGTGCCTCACCTTGCGCCTTGCGCCTCAGGCGCATTTGAAACCTGTCGCTTTTTGTGCGCCTTTCGCTTTTAAAACACTGGGTGGGAGATAGTTAGTAGAAGTAAGGAAGGAGGGGGTATAGGATTAGGAAACCTAGTTCTTAAGAATGAAGCTTTACTAGGGAAGTGGCTGTGGAGATGGCCTTTTGAGAGAGAGAGAGAGAGAGAGAGAGAGAGAGAGAGAGAGAATGATTGGGATGCTGGGGTATCTCGATGGGTGACTCTTAGAACACCCTAGAAGGCTATACATGGGATTGTTCCCCAATTCCTCAAGTTGGTCCGGTATGATGTCTATTTTGGAAATAATGTTCTTTTTTGGGAAGATATTTGGGTGGGCAACCTCTTTAAAGACCTTTTCCCCTCTCTTTACTCTCTTTCCCTTTATACAAAAAGGCAATTCCTAAGTTTATTCCTTCCCCGATTTCTCCTTTGGCTTTAAATTGGAGGTTTGGCTTCCGAAAAGGGCTACAGGATGATGAATTTGCTTGTATTTCTGAACTTTTGTTATCACTTGAGTCTATTTGCTTGGGTCCCCTCAAACTTAAGATTTTTGTCCAATGAGATCAAGGATTCAAGTGAAATTAATTGTTTTCTATAAGCAAATACACTAACCCACCTCCTCCACCAACTCTTTGCTTATTTATTAGATCAAATCATAGCTTCTAAACAAATATTAAATGACAATCAGACCCAGATGTGTGCCATGCCACCAACAATAACCGTGTTGTACTTCATATTTAAGCAAGAAGCCATAGATCCACCAGAGATGAAGCTCCCTAGAAATCCTGGGTCCCCACCATATACAACACTAAGTAGTAGAGTGGGACCATTTGTCACCAAAAGTGAAAGAATAATAGACGCCATTGTCATCTAAAGAATTGACTAATGCCCTTCACATACACTCAATGTTTTCAAAAAAATATCATTTTGATCAGATCTGCTGATACTGTGAAATGTGTGAACTGAGCAAAATATCAAGACATTGCATTTTCAAAAGAAGAATAGTTTGATTTGATTTATATAGTTATATAGATTAGAGTATATATAGTTAGCATAAATAAGTAATATGGAAAGATTGGTGTACAGCATTTCAGTTACAAGGAAAAAAAATTCAGTAGGGCAATGTTAGTTTTATAGAAAATAAGGGAGAAACAAAATTTTGCTAAGAACTTTCCCTCAACTTTCTGTTTTTCTCTTATTTCTATCAAACCAAACATAGCCTTAGCTTCAAGAATGAAGAAACTAAGTTGGACTCTTTCTGTTTGGACAGATTCACAGCCAATCCAGCAGATAATTGTCACAAACTCTACAACTTCAGGAAGAACTAGGGGGTGTTCTAATCCTGTGGTTATTTTCCTTGGGATTCTCCCTTGGCCTAGCTAACTTGTTATCTATCAATCAGGATTCCCTACAGTCTCTGCTGTTAGTTACAGTTACTAATGCCCGTTCATTAATGCAGTATTCTGCTATGCCCTACAGCAGCACACGAGGATGACCAAAATGCTTCCTGGGCTGAAGTAGTATAGTTTTAGCATGGCAGCATTTCTTTTTCTGCAGTATCCAAAAACTAGACAACTTTCAATTGTTAGTGAGTACTCGAAGCAACCTATTCAATTTACTCTTTCTTTCTCTTTTTCTTTTTATTTGGCCTTTGCAAACATGAAGGCAACAGACACTAAGCCTATGCTCGTTCACACACACATACACCCTGTCCTAATTAAAGAAAACTAAACACACCGCCCATCCTCAAATTTCAGACTTAAAACAAAATACAAACATGCTGACCTTGAATTCAGAACTAAAACTAAGCAAACATTGATATCTTGATTTAAAAACCAAAAGGAATTCTATCAGGACGACATTATTCAGATTCAGACTTCAGTTTTAATAATTAGAGAACTATAATAAAATTATTTTCGCACGTAGAAAAACAGTCAATGGTATGACGAAAACCTCTTGATATAAAAAAGAGTAGGCCTAAAACAGGCAAAAACCAGAGCTCATGTTCAAATTAATGCACATTTGTTTCTAGAACTAAAAATCTGAGTCCTCTAAACACAAATTCAATCAAAAGAAAAAAAAAATCATGCAAAACAATAGGAAGAGAAGGACGTGGTTGAGAAAAGGGAACAACCTTCTCGGGTCTGAAAAAGGAGGGTAAGATAGGAACCAGAAATGCAACCGACGGAGGGTTTTGTTGAGATGCTCCAACTGCTACGATGGCTTCAGAGAACAGGGTCGAATCTCCCTCTGACAGGATATGCGACCTAAAAACTAAAAAACAAAAATCATAATCCACTGAAGGGCGGCTGTATTGCGAGATGGGAAGCAAACATACACGCATATAAGTAGATCGGAGGTAGTACAAGCTTGTGGGCAAGAACAGAGGTTACCGTTGGTATGGAGTTCCGCTGAGGAAGAAGAAAGCAACCGGCGGCTCAGATCTCCTGGAGTTTGCAGTTCGGAAGAAGCCGTTGTCCTCTCTCTCTCTGAGGGATTATGCAGAAAACGATATGCTTCGGTTGAGAATAATAGCAACTTATTTTCGATGAAAACCCTCCCACGTTTACATATTTGCATCGAATGTTGATAGAGTTTCACGCTCTTACCAAACGGGCGCAAACCTGAACCGGAGAGCATATTTGCAACGGTTCGAAGTTTGCACTCTTACAAAACGCAGCCTGAACAACAGGTCAAATTGAGTGGAGTATGATCTCAGCGCAAAAGGTCAAGCCCAAAGCACTCAACAACAACGGTGATTTTGTTTCAGCGTCGTTGCGGAGGCCGAGATGCATAAGGCTGATAAATTTCACAAACGCTGGAATCCTACCTGTGATTTGATCATCGGCAACGTTCGAGATGGCACGCAGGAAACTCTCCAGCGATTCCCTTGCAGTCGGAACTAATGAGAGTAGTTGGCGTTTGGCGACACGATTGAGATTATGGACGGCCAGAGAGACGGTGCCGCTGCCGACCATGTAACCGGAGAGAGAGACTGAGGAGTTCCGGGAAATAGATAGGAGTTCGAGAGAGAGAGAGAGAGAGAAAGAGACGTGTCGGTAGCCAAGGAGCTACTTTTGACGTGGCCTGATTTGTTGTGGACTCGCTGGGAATTACCGGTGAGTTCAAAAGCAGACAGTTCGAAATGTTAAATCTCTACCGAAGTCCCATGATCCCATCTGTGCAGCCCTAGAGTAAGAGGACGGGGGTGAGAGAGAGAGACCCATCTTGTTTTTCCCTTCCTGCTGCAGCTAGTGAAGACGAGGAATTCAGAAATTTCTTAGTCGTTCATCGATTTTACTTCCACAAGCGGTAAATTCTCAATTCCTCTTTCTTCAATTTTCTCTTTTATTTATCTTGTTTCTTTTTGTAAATTATGTTGTAAATTTCGATTTCTTGTGTTTTCTTTTTCTGCAGGGTTGATGTCTAGGGTTTTTGCGAGGTTGGATTTGTAGGATTTTCCGATTTTTTTGTTCTTATTATTGTTGTTGTAATAGTGATGGATGAGGTGAAACATAAGTCGAGGAGAGAGAATGCGGAGAGGAAGGAAGATTTGAAGAGGGGAGCGTTGATGAGAAGTACAGGGAGAGGGATAGAGAAGATAGAGAGAGATGACAGAAACGGAGAAGAAAGAGAGAGGAAGAGGAAAGAGAGGGAGAAGTTGAAAGATAGAGAGCACAGAGAGAGGGAAAGAGGTAAAGAGAGAGACATAGACAGAGAAGACAAAGATAGGGAAAGGGAGAAAGATAGAGAGCACAGACAGAGAGATAGAGAGGATCGGGAGAGGGAGAGAGATAGAGATAAAGGGAGGGAACGAACAAGAGAGAGGAAAGAAAGGGAAGAAAGAGAGCGTGAGAGGGAAGATGGGGAGAGGGAGAGGGAAAGGGAAAAGGAAAAGGAGAGGGAAAAGGAGAGGGAGAGGGAGAAGCGTTGAGAACTGGATAGGGATGAGGACAGGGAAGCAGATGATTATGACAGGAAACGACAGAGGATGGAGGTGGATTATAATCAGGAAAGAGAACGTGAGCGGAAGAAATTGGATGAGGAGATGGACAAGCGAAGGAGGAGAGTTCAGGAATGGCATCAATTGCGAAGGAAGAAGGAAGAATCTGAAAGAGAGAAGTGTGGTGAAGTGAATGGGGATGAACCAAAGTTGGGTAAGAACTGGACCCTTGAAGGAGGATCAGATGATGATGAAGCTGTTGTTGCAGGGAAGTCGGAGAAGGATGTGGACTTGCAGGAGGATGCCAAGCCTGCTAGCATAGGTGCAGATGCCATGGTGGTTGATTCTGAGAATGGAAGTGGAGTGCCTATGGGACAAAATGGCGGTGACAGTGTCAGTGGGGAGGAGGAAATTGACCCATTGGATGCTTTCATGAATTCTATGGTATTGCCTGAAGTTGAGAAACTGAACAGTTTTGTGGACACTTCGAAGGTTGAGGATAAAAAATCTGATTCCAAGAATGCCCAAAAAGACGGTATGAGTAATGGAGTTCAACCAAAGAAAGGTATAAATAAATCTATTGGAAGAATAATTCCTGGAGAGGATTCTGATTCAGATTATGGTGACCTTGAAAATGATGAACTTCCACCAGAAGATGAAGATGATGATGAATTCATGAAAAGAGTGAAGAAGACCAAAGCTGAGAAATTAACTTTAGTTGATCACTCAAAGATCCAGTACCCACCTTTCAGGAAGAATTTCTATATTGAAGTGAGAGATTTCAAGGATGACGTCCAAAGAGGTACCTGCTTACAGAAAGCAACTAGAATTGAAGATACATGGAAAGGATGTACCAAAGCCTGTTAAGACATGGAACCAGACTGGTCTTGTGAGTAAAATATCGGATACAATAAAAAAGCTTAACTATGAGAAGCCTATGCCCATCCAAGCTCAGGCATTACCAATAATTATGAGTGGTCGAGACTGCATAGGAATTGCAAAGACTGGTTCAGGGAAAACCTTGGCATTTATTTTACCAATGTTGAGGCATATCAAAGACCAACCACCTGTTGCTCCTAGGGATGGTCCTATTGGGCTTATAATGGCACCTACAAGGGAGCTTGTCCAGCAGATCCATAGTGATATCAAGAAGTTTGCTAAGGCAGTGGGTGTTAACTGTGTACCTGTATATGGAGGTTCTGGAGTTGCCCAACAAATAAGTGAATTAAAGCGGGGAGCTGAGATTGTTGTGTGCACTCCAGGTAGGATGATAGATATACTTTGTACTAGTAGTGGAAAGATAACAAATCTCCGCAGAGTTACGTATCTGGTTATGGATGAAGCGGATAGAATGTTTGACATGGGTTTTGAACCTCAGATTACTCGCATTGTTCAAAATACCCGGCCAGATCGACAGACAGTACTCTTCTCTGCCACTTTTCCTCGTCAAGTTGAGATGCTGGCACGTAAAGTGTTGAACAAGCCTGTGGAAATACAGGTTGGGGGAAGGAGTGTGGTGAACAAGGACATAACACAGTTGGTTGAGGTGAGACCAGAAAGTGAAAGATTTCTAAGACTCCTAGAGCTAATTGGGGAATGGTATGAAAAGGGAAGGATTTTAATATTTGTCTACACACAAGAAAAATGTGATTCTTTGTTCAAAGACTTGCTAAGACATGGTTATCCTTGCCTCTCTCTTCATGGAGCTAAGGATCAAACAGATCGTGAATCCACCATTTCTGATTTCAAGAGCAATGTCTGCAACCTGTTGATTGCAACAAGTGTTGCAGCAAGGGGGTTAGATGTCAAGGAGCTTGAGCTAGTAATCAACTTTGATGTCCCAAATCACTATAAAGACTATGTTCATCGTGTTGGACGGACTGGTCGGGCAGGCAGGAAAGGCTGTGCTATTACATTTATATACATTTATATCAGAGGTGGATGCAAGATATGCTCCAAATCTTGTAAAAGCCCTGGAACTTTCTGAACAAGCAGTTCCTGAAGACCTGAAGGCTCTGGCTGATGGTTTCATGGCAAAAGTAAGTCAAGGACTTGAACAAGCCCATGGCACTGGTTATGGGGGAAGTGGTTTTAAGTTCAATGARGAAGAGGATGAAGTGAGAAAAGCTGCAAAGAAAGCACAGGCAAGGGAATATGGCTTTGAGGAAGAAAAGTCAGATTCAGAGTCTGAAGATGAAGGGATCCGGAAGGCAGGAGGGGACATCACACAGCAAGCTGTCCTTGCTCAGGTTGCTGCTTTAGCTGCAGCCTCCAAGGTAAGTATGGCTTCAGTGCCAACCCCTATCACTGCAGCACAATTTCTTCCAAATGGAGGACTACCTGTAACTTTGCTTGGTGTCCTTGGTTACCAGGCACGGCAGCTGTTGTTCCTGGGGCTACACTGCGTATTGTCCCTAATGAGGGAGCAGCTCGTGCTGCAACATTGGCAGCTGCCATGAATTTGCAGCATAACCTGGCAAAGATCCAAGCTGATGCAATGCCTGAACACTATGAAGCAGAGCTTGAAATTAATGATTTCTCCCAGAATGCTCGTTGGAAGGTRACCCATAAGGAAACTTTAGGTCCAATTTCTGAATGGACAGGAGCTGCCATTACAACAAGGGGGCAGTATTATCCACCTGGTAAAATTCCAGGACCTGGTGAGCGCAAGCTCTACCTGTTCATCAAGAGACCTACTGAACAGTCTGTAAAGAGAGCAAAAGCAGAGGTAAAACGTGTTTTGGAGGATATCACCAACCAGGCATTGTCACTCCCTGGTGCAGCCCAACCAGGAAGGTACTCAGTTCTGTGAGATACTGGTTAAGATTTCTCTAGTTGGATGAATGTGTACTTTTTCGTTTTCCATCTGCTGGAAAACCGTTCCTTGGACCTCTGTACTCCAGATTCTATTTTTCTTTGGATGTTTATACTTGGCCTACTGGGATTCACCTTCTTATCTTTGGTTGTGGAAAATCAATATATTTACGGCCAAAATGATTTCTTTGGTAACTTGTAATTTTGATTGACATCTTATGAATAATTTTTTGAGACCATTATACAAGCTTTTGTATAAAACAGTGGTAAAGAAAAGATGGATTGAAGAAAGAATTCTTGTTAAATTCATGTTGCCCTCTTTTTGAAAATCAATAATAACAACAACATCATATCTTAGAAAGAAAATCACATTAGATGTTTGACTGTAACGTTACAGCCTTAAAGGTATGAAGTTTTAACTCAATCTCAACAATCACGAAAGACTTGGAAGAAACACACGTTGGGGAGTCGCCAATTCCATTAGAATATTGCCCACTCATATAGTACTCATAGCATGATACATTCATTGATATGTGCTGTTAAATTCAGGCAGGATGTTAGATTTTAAGCGCATCACAGAGTTTCTTTAATTTTGCGTTGTGTTCCTGTAGTATTGAATATTGGATGAAAAGATGATAGATACAGAATTCAAAAGCAATTTTCTTCTTAAGCTCAGTTTGTACTCTTCCAAACTGAGCCTCAAGATCTGAAATAGAACTATTATAGCAATTGAAGCTCCAAACATAATCTTGGATGCAAGTATGCAGTATCAGAGGTATCCAAGGAAAGAATGCTAATAGGAGATATATTATCAGGTAATATGAGCATGGCTTCTTTCTACTGCATGTCATTATAGTCAGGTGAATGACAAGTGGAACTATAATGACAATCTTTCTCATCTTCATGAGGATCATGAATGATATTTAGCGGCAGCAAATTTCTTATCCTCACCCTTGTAGTTAACCATGGTTATGGGCTTGTCACCAGGGCAGCAGGTTTTCCAATTATAGTAAAGGCCTGAAGGGCCAAAACTTGATGAGTTGATGCTATTCTACAGATTGACATCAATGATTTTCAACAAAATAAGTGTGTATGTAGAAGGGACCCAGAAATGGTTCTTTATGCATCAAATAACATGTAGCAACTCTCTGGAGTCTCTTGAGAAATAGTTTAAGGCAATTGGTTTAGTTTGTTATGCTGTGTTTAGTTGGAGTGTAAATCTGAACCATTGCAAATTTGTACTCTGGTTTAGATTTGTCTTTGTACAAGCACACTTGACTTGATACATACAAAACTTTCATCGAACTAATACTGTTATTTCATAACTTTCACCGATGATTATTCTTGGTATGGTTACGTGTACCTAATGAGACATAAATTTGAATCCTTTAAAAATTTCAAGGAGTTTAGACAAGAAGTCGAGAAACAGTTGGAGAGACATATCAAAACCTTTTGATCAGATTGATGAAGTGAATATCTATCCAACAAATTCAGGGACTACTTAAAGGACAATGAAATTATATCACAATTGTCTCCTCCTGTTACACCACAGCTAAACGATGTGTCAGAGAGAAGAAATCGGACTCTATTAAATATAGTTTGGTCACTCATCGTCCATTCAAAATTACTTATATCCTTTTGGGGACATGCATTGGAGACTGCAATATACGTGTTGAATCGGGTTTTGACCAAATCGGTTTCTATGAATCCTTATGAGCTTTGGACCAGCAAGAAACCAAGTGTAAGACACTTGAAAATATGGGGTTGTCCAATACACGTTAAAAGAACAAGTGCAGACAAATTGGAATCCAAAACCAGTCATTGCCTATTTGTAGGCTACCCCAATGGCTCTGTAGGGTATATTTTCTATGACCCAAGAGAACAAAAGTTGTTTGTTAGTCGAAATGCCTACTTCTTAGAAGAATATTATATTCTAAACGATCATTATCAAGAAGTTGTTCTTGATGAAGATAGTTCATGAGTAGTGGGAGATAATCAATAGGTTATGGATGGCACCTAACTTAGAAAATCTACCCGGATGTCTAGACCTTTAGTTCGTTGCGGCTATGATCAAGAAAGTTACTTGATGGAAGCTACGAACAATGAGGAAGATCCTCTGACTTATACGGAAGCTATGTTGGACATAGATTCCTTGAAGTAAGTAGATGCCATGAAGGTCGAGATGGATTCGATGAAAATCAACGGAGTTTGGACTCTCGTAGACCCACCCCTAGGGTGAAAGCAATTTGTTGCAAATGAATTTACAAGAGGAAGAAATGCCCTGATGGAAAGGTTGAGACCTATAAAGCTCGGCTTGTAGGGAAAGGGTACACTTAGAAAGGAGTCGATTATGAGGAAACCTTTTCGCTTGTGGCCATGTTCAAATCCATACGGATTCTGTTAACTATAGATGCACACTATGACTATGAGATTTGGCATATGGATGTCAAAACCGCGTTCCTAAATGGAAATCTTACTAAAGATATCTATATGCAATAGTTGTAAGGCTTTGTTGCCTTGGGTCAAGAACATATGGTGTGTAAACTGAATAGATCCATATATAGGTTGAAGCAAGTTTCAAGAAGTTGGAACATCTGATTTGACACAATGGTCAAACAGTTTGACTTTGAGCAGAATCCGGATGAACCCTGTGTTTATAGAAAGACAATGGGAGAAAATGTTACATTTCTGATACTTTATGTAGATGACATTCTACTCATTGGGAATGATGTAGGAATGTTGACTCCAGTGAAGGTATGACTTTCACAGCAATTCTCTATGAAAGATCTTGGAGAAGTCTCCTATATCTTGGGACTTTGACTCTATAGAGATATATCGAAAAAGATAATAGGATTATCA